ATTAACCTAGTTAAGCCTTTAAATGTCACTTTAAGCTGTATAGAAGTGTCTTGAAAAATATCTAGTCTAATATTATTTACTCTCATCATGGCAAAGATAAAATAAATCAGTTATTAGAGATGAGTTATTAAAACTATTATGATTAGAAATGTGTTGATATATATATATATATATATATATATATATATATATATATGTATATATATATATATATATATATATATATATATATATATATATATATATATATATATATATATATATATATATATATTGTGTCTGTGTGTGATCTATAATGACACTTACATGGCTAGAACATTAATGCACTGTGTGTAAATGGTGTGCAATGGAAAGTACTCACATTACAGCTTGAACTCCTTTTCTTTGTTCCACCAAGAGTCGAAAAAGAAGGTGAAGTTTGTTGATGGATGTCCAAAAAAAGATCTAGCATTCGTTTTCTTTTAATATAAGTCCAATGGGAGTAAACAACAGTGATTATAAAAGCGAAAGTAGAAGTGTCTAAGAAGTGACCCTCTTCATTTTTTTAGTAGGCTACTGGAACAGATGGTTAATTCAGTCGTTGCAGTGGCGCCATCTGCTGCACACAGTCAACAAACTGATGCTGAATTCTCATTAATCCACAACAAAATCAACATTTAAGTTACAAACCATGTTGTACCCCCCCCACACACACACACACACACACAAACACAAAGAACTAATTGTGTTATTTAGTTACTTTTTATGGAAAGTAATGCATTATATTACTTCTGAGTTACTTTTGCGTTACTTTTCCTCACCTGGCTGTGGTTTGATTTCTTTCAGCAGGTGTTTTGTTTATAGAGAAGCTCTGCATTTAACAACCTATACCTTAATTTTGCTTAAAAAAAGTAGGATATTATATTTTGGGAACTTTCTGAGCCCAGAGATCTAAATGTTGTATATACAGATTAATGACAGCATGTATAGTGATGTGTTTAGTGTTATTAATTTAGTAAATTCACTGTCCATTGCGATTAGACTAAAATAAAGCCTAAGAGTACTAACATAAAATAATTTATATTAAGGCAAAAAAACGATTTAAAATCTTTTAAAATGTACAAAATTAACAGTAATACGATAAAAACATCCCCAAATCAAAATAACTTGAAAAAAATTGGTTAAATTTCTTTACGTGGCCTTCACAAATGTGTAAATCATTTCCCAAAATACACTTACTATATTACAAAACATTGTTGCTTATACAGTACTGTTAGACAGTGGCTGCATCTCCTCCACATTAAAAGCCAGAAACATTTATTTTAGTCAGTGAATTGTTTTACCTGGAGAACATGAACTGAAATCATTTGTTGTTTAGCTGGAGGTGGGGTGCAGATGTTCCAGAGATTTTCCAGATATTTACCAGCATCACTGTGTGAAAGAGGCTTAAGTCAGTAACCAAGATCAGTCAATATGCATTAATCCAGACCAGTGGCACAAACAGCAAAAGTGGAAAACGTAGCCAAGTTAAAAGCGTACATGACTGTAATATATAGCTTTCCATCTGAACATAAAGAAACATTTCTGAACTAATCTAATTCTCATTTGTAATTTTAATATCCCACTGCTGAAATAAATCACACTATTCATGTCGCCTTATATATTTAAGTAAACTAATTTTGAGAGGAGCATGTGATATGATTGATCGCGGCTGATCTCCCTTCTGTAATCATTAGTAAGTCAATCGGATTAATCCAAACTCACTATAACTCGATTAGTATTACTCCCTCATCTTCGTTTTTTTTAAGAATCCTTTCATCCAGGGGCGGACTGGGACAAAAATTCAGCCCTGGCACTGTAGCCACATCAGCCCACATTACCACACCAACACAGCCCCACCCACGGACACGCACATTTAGTATTTATTTTGGTGTACAGATGGTAAAATAATATGACATTCTTGCCAGATTTTGATAACGTCCGGATGACCTCGGATTGGCTCGGCCAATCTTCAGGCGGCCGTCGCCGATTGGGCCAAAGGCTTAACATTTATTATTATTATTATTATTATTATTATTATTATTATATATATATATATATTTTTTAAATCAACATCATAATATCACATCTAGCAAGAGGTAAAAGCTGCCTGCACGTAAAAACAATACATATTTAAAAAAAACTGACCGGCCCACATTTAAAAATTGTTCCGGCCCTTCTGGCATTTGCCAGAATTGCCAGATGGCCAGTCCGCCCCTGCTCCAATCCACCCTATCCCCCCTTTTCCTCCTTTACCAGGGGGAGCTCTTGAAAGCTTTCTGAACTTGTACCCCTATACATGCTCATTGACCAGTGGTGTGTTTCCCAAACAACAACGTAACTCGCAGCTGAACTATCGTGGTACGATGCATCATTTGGAAAAAGAATGATGTAGTGACGAGTGTTTCCCAAAACGCGTAGTTTCTGTCGCAGATCTATCGCTTGAACCATTTCTTTGTGCAAATTATTTATTTATACACAAACAAGCATTTAAAATAAAATCCAATAACAGATTTGGTAAAAACATGCACAGGCACATATAGGGCCTGCTTGCTTTACAAATATTAATGAGTATGACATATCATATTCTAAAACGTAAACTCACTTACAAAAGCTAACACGTGTTCAAATATCATATAGAAATCATATAAATAAATAAATAATGAGGCTATTTATCATGAAATGAAATTTAATAATTATTATGTATTAGAAAAAAAATCATACTTTAATAATAATATTAATGATGATGATGATGATGATTATTAGTAGTATTATTAGGTAGGATATTGTTTATTTATTTATTTATTTTTAAAGTCTTCTTTTACAATTTGACACATGTAAACCACTGCAGAAATGTAACAAGCAGATCCATGTCATATACAGTACAGATATTTAATAAATAACCCACTATAAATTAAAATAATTAACGTATGCTTTTTGTTTTTACAAGCTTTGAAGACGTAACATAAATTCTGCTTTTAAATAACAGGTCACCTATAGCTTTCGCCATGAGGTTGTGTTCCAAATGACATCAATGTTTTCTAAGTGCACTGCGAAGGGAGCGTGATTGTAAACATGAAGGTCACTAAAACTGAAGTGCAAAAATCCTTTAAAAGTAAATTACACTTAAAAGAGATGACCTTAATGCTTTTTATTTTTCATAATTACAATTTTGAATGTTAGAATGTTCTAAATGAATAAGTGGGAATATAACACAGCCAGAAACTATGTTTCTAACTACAGCTCCAGAGCTGTAGTTGCGAGTGCTCAAGTTTGTGATGCAGTTTGCGTATGTTCATTGGAGCGATGAATTTGGGAAACGGCAAATCAACAAACTATGTTTGTCATGACAGAACTTGCAATCTTAGTTGGCTAACGATGGTTTTGGGAAACGCACCCCAGTTTGGAGCCCTGGGTGCAATTATCTCCAAGCTCAGGGTTCTCTCCCAGGACAACATGCCAAACCTGCTATTATATCAAGCAATTTCTTAGTGTGAACTCTTGAAACAAAAATGCTGGAAAACTTTGCTCTTCAAGCACATCTATTTATTGCATTGACATGAACATAAAGCAATTTCCAAAATGCATGTTCACAATTAAGCTGAAGGGTAAATGCAGACAAACTGAATTTAAAACATTAAGAGCACTTTCCCTCATATGAATTTGCTGCTAATTTACCAACTCACAACCAAGAAACAAATGGGTTATTCATTAAAATATTTCAGCTGAAATCATGGTTCTTGGTTATTTGCATAATGCAAATGTAACATCATATTGAGAGACCAAATAAACATAATCAATGTGACCCTGGATTACAAAGCCAGGCTATATTATTGGGAATAGGCAAAAATACGTTATGTGGATCAAAATGAGTGACCGTTTGTCTAAAATGACCAGTATATGAAGTAAAGATAATGTTCATGAGTATCTTTTTTTCTAATTTTATTCTGCAAATCTATCAAAATGTAATTTTATTAGTAATATGCATTGCTCGTATCCCAACAAACAGACTCTACCAAAGGAAAACGTATTGTGTATCCAATCTCAATTTCTAAAAATAGACTCTTGTGCCTGGGTTTGAGATCCTGGGTCACAAATTACATTGAAACCTTAAGAATCCAAATTCATGACAGCCAATGGGCTATATGCACAGGTGCAAGGTTTACGTGATTTTTCAATTTTTTTTCAAATTACATGTTCTCCCCATGCTCACGTGGGTTTCCAAAAACATGCAACTTAAGTTAACTGACTAATCAAATTGGCACCATAGACATGCTCCTAGTAAGTAGTCATCTCTTAAGAGCAATCACTATCTGTTCATTAGCTACTAAAGCAGGGGAGTTCTCCAGATGTACCTGAGCTCAAACTCCCCTCTCACCTTGCAAACGGGAGGAAGCCCCGGGCTCGAGGATCTTATATTTCTCCCAGGACAGCATGCCCAACAAGCTTTATAATCAATCATCAGCTCAGTGTGAACTCTTGAAAATACTGTAAAATACTTTGTAGGAAATCTACATGATGACAACACAAAAATGCGACCTCTGATTGATGCTTTCTCAGTTATTTGCCTAGGGATGAGATCAGAACAGAAAATTGACTAGGCAGGTGGTCAATGCTAATATGTAATGGCGGTAGTGTGTACAATTTGGCATCAGCACCTTTGCTTCAGAAATGAGACTAAATAAAATATTAGTCTTTGAGAACAGGATGAGGAGCTTCAGAACAGGGCTGCAGGCGGAAATGCAGAGAAGCTTAAGAAATATAAAACACTTTCAGCTCTATCTGAAAATGTAGTCCCGTGGACGTTTCTGGTGACTCCGTATTATGTAGCCGAAGGTAGGTATGGCTGCATTTCATTTTTTAAGCGAGCGCTAGGGGGCGGTATGATGCCAATCCTTTTCGAGCTTACTGGCTGACCGCTTACCTCCTTGTGGAGGGCTTTCCCACCGCAACCAGTTTATCTGGGTAGCTTGTTGTGTATGTCAGTGGACTTGAGACACAGAGAGAAGCTGACGACGACCACCGGGTTTGAGACCAGGGAAGAGCAGTTCTAGAAATCAGGTAAGACAAAAACAGAATCTAAAAAATAAAGTAGTAAGTTCATAACAGATTGAGAATGTGGTAAAATCCGAAAGCGTGGTAAAAATCAGACAAGGAATTTTCTTTTTCTGGACGGCTTGTCGATTGCTGGTTGGGTTTAGGGAAGTAAGCGGGTGGGCGGGTCAATCGGTAAAATTGGTTGGGTTTAGGGAAAGAGGAGGGAGGGTCGGGTGATTGGCCGGTCGCCCAGTCAATCATTCCATCAGTCAGACAGTCATTCTACAGCGGCCTCTGGCGGGTGTATCTGATAACAGCATAGGCGTGAACGGCACTCACAAGAGACATTGCATTGAGATGCAAAAAAGCGCACACAGCAGCCTCTCATGGAGTCGCGAAAACAAAAACTGCAAAAATACGTACCTCCTGGGACGTATTTCGCTGTCTCCAGAAACATCCACGGGACTATGTTTTCAGAATGAGCCTGGGTTGTAAGGATGGTTTATTGATGTTCACTAGCGGGGTAAACTGAGATTCTACCAATTAAAAAAGAACTGAAAACATCTTGGCAGAATGAGTAAATGCACAAATAATAGTAGTTTTAGGTGGATTGCTGATGTAGATGCCAAGAAAATAAGACAAACAAGTTCATTCAGAGATTATCTTTAAGACAGGATCTTAGGTGGTAGAGAAGCTGATTACTTGCTTTGAGAAATGCTGTTGCTGTCAATTATTGTTTACTTCAAGTCAGTTTAATAGTAACAGGATTAATCAAATAGACCCGTCGATAGTAGGTTTGTGAAGAAATGGTATGCTCCCTTGTAAAAGTATTTTGTAGTATTTTGAAAATACAATTTACAGTATTTTATTTAGATACATTTGTGGTTGCTTTGTGTTTATTTTAATGCACGCAAAATTGGGGTATTTTTCATTTAGTTTTAAAATACATTTTAATGTATTTTTGCCCATCCCTGGCTGCAATTATGCTTTCAAAGCTATTTATTGCCAACACGTTTTCACAACATGTTTACAGTCATCAATGCATGATGTCCAGCTTTAAGTATCCACAGAGCCATTGAAAATTAGGTCAGTAAAGTCCTTTACCTTTTTGATCACATACTTTGCATTCTCTAAGTTAGCCTTACCTGCCCTGCAAATTGCATCACCCACTGAATCAGCATCTTCTGCTGCTTCGTATCCAGTGAATCCTCCTCCAATTCCTCCTGCTACAACAGCAACTTCAGCAACAACAGCTGCAGCCACTGGACCTGCTGCTATTCCTCCTGCCTCTGCTGCTGCAGCTCCACCAACAACACCAACCTCCGCTGCTATTGCTCCTGCCTCTGCTGCTAGTCCTCCAGCAACTCCGACCTCAGCTGCTACTGCTCCTGCTTCTGCTGCTATTCCTCCAGCAACTCCGACCTCAGCTGCTGCAGCTCCTGCTGCTACTTCACCAGCAACCCCAACTTCAGCTGCTCCTACAGCTTCAGCCATCGCTCCTGTTTCTTCTGCTGCTACTTCAGTCACAGCCGCAGCTGCTGCCTCTCCTTCTGCTGTTGCTCCTCCTCCAGCGGCTGTTGCTCCTCCTCCAGCTGCTGTTGCTCCTCCTGTTGCTGCTGCTCCTCCTCCTCCTCCTCCAGCTGTTGCTCCTTCTCCAGCACCTCCAAATAAGGCTTTTAATAATTCATATTCAGAGCTTTTCAAGAAACCCAATATTGCAGCTGCTACTACACCTAAGCCCATGATGGCACCAGTAAGCACCCCTGATGCAGTTCCTGCAACCTTCTCCACAGTTTTATTATGCATAAAATCAGTTGATTGAGCTGGTTTCTTGTTATTCTTCATCTGCTCTTGAATTTGTTCCTCCATCAGCTTATTGGTGTAGCGGCCGTTCTCTTTTACCATCTTGTCAATGGTATCCAGCAGACTTTTCACCTGCTCTCTGTTGCTCCTGTATCCTGTGTTACGGTCATTCCAGTGCTTGCTGTCAATGACGTGACAGCGACCTCCACATTTATCTACAAGCTCCTGCATTTGTAAACTGCAATACACAAATTCTTCGATGACCTCGCCGTTGAGCTCCTCTCCTGAAGTGAATAAGATCACTGTGTGTTTCAGGGCATCCTCTTTCAGCGTGTCCAGAATTTGCCGCACAATCTTGTCTTCATGCGTTACATATGCTTCAACCTTTAAAACAACGACAATGGCATCAACGCCTTCAGCGCTGTCGACCAGAGACTGGATGATCACCGATTTGGTCTTCTCATCATGATCTGTGTCAAAGAAATCAGGTGCGTCAATAACTGTGATCTTTCTGTGATTCAGGAGAAGAGAGTCAGCCAATTCTTTAGCATGATCTTCAATTGTATTCTTTGCACTGCTCTTGCCGTCTCCTTGTTTCCCGATAAGGATGATTCTTCTCTCCTGAACAGAGCGGCCGTCTATTTGAGGAAAAAAAAAACTGTTTATACTATGCACTTGATTTCTAAGATCGGCAGAATGCTTTTAAGGGTGCTTTTACATCTGTAGTACACTTTATTTGGTCCAGACCAAGGGCAACAAATGATCAATTGTAGCATTTTCTGCTGTCTTTGGGTCGTTTTTACACATTTACATTTACATTTAGTCATTTAGCAGACGCTATTATCCAAAGCGACTTACAAATGAGGACAAGGAAGCAACTTACACAACTATAAGAGCAACAATGAATAAGTGTTGTAGGCAAGTTTCAGGTCTGTAAAGTCTAAGAAGGAAAGTGTTAGTAATTTTTTATTTTATTTAAAAAATTTTTTGAGTACAGTTAGTGGTATATCCAGAGAGGCAATTGCAGATTAGGAAGTGTAGTGGAGACTAAATAGTTGAGTTTTTAGTCGTTTCTTGAAAACAGCGAGTGACTCTGCTGTTCTGATGCAGTTAGGGAGTTCATTCCACCAACTGGGCAGATTAAACGCGAGCGTTCGGGGAAAGTGATTTCTTCCCTCTTTGGGATGGAACCACGAGGCGACGTTCATTCACAGAACGCAAGTTTCTGGAGGGCACATACATCTGCAGAAGTGAGAGCAGATAAGAAGGAGCAAAGCTAGAGTCGGCAAACATCCGAGCTTTTAATTTGATGCGAGCAGCAACTGGCAGCCAGTGCAAACGGATGAGCAGCGGAGTGACGTGCTCTTTCAGGTTCATTAAAGACCACTCGTGCTGCTGCCTTCTGAAGCATCTGAAGAGGCTTGATAGAGTTAGCTGGAAGCCCTGCTAGTAGAGAGTTGCAGTAATCCAGTTTGGAGAGAACAAGAGCTTGAACAAGGAGTTGAGCTGCATGTTCAGATAAGAAGGGTCGGATCTTTCTAATGTTATAGAGTGCGAATCTGCACGATCGAGCAGATTAAACCTGATTGCTTTGGTCCGAACCAGTTAAAAAGAACCAAAATGCAGTCATCTAACAGTATCCACATTATTTATTGGCCAGATGTTGTTACACAAATTTCCTAAACTGCTTATGGATTGGTCAGAATTCACGTGCGGGAAAATGCCAATGGAATTCCCGCCAGTAAACAAACCGGCAGACCCAATGTCGCTTTTGACTATGGAGTGACGACTGCGCTGGGTGATTGTATCCCTGCTTGTAGTATACTGTATAGTTGGTTTACATCACTTTAGACAAGCTACACATTTCGAGAATGAAGTGCGGCTGCAGCTGGAAAACAATGCTTTCAGGGGTCACCAATCTCTGTCCTGGAGGGTCGATGTCCCTGCAGAGTTTAGCTCCAACTTGCCTCAACACACCTGCCTGGATGTTTCAAGTATACTAAGTAAGACCTTGATTAGCTTGTTCAGGTATGTTTGATTAGGGTTGGAGCTAAAATCTGCAGGACACCGGCCCTCCAGGAACAAGTTTGGTGACCCCCTGAATCTCTGTTGGTAAAGCGCTGTCAACAAATATTTTTCCTACTGTGACGGTCTCTGATTGGACCGCACAAAAATCAAACAAACTTTTTATTGTTTTGTTGTTGACTAAAAATCTTGGGTTGCCTGGACGTTGTCTCAGTGAGTGCTACTTTTCTTCTTCTTTCTGCTTCGCTCAAGTTTATGATCTTCATCTCAACTCGTCGATAACGTTATCCTTCGGAGGCCAAGTCATCTGTCAAGAGCTGAAATCTAGTATTCAAACTAGTTCCCACAAACGCCACGTTCAATTTCACAACACACTCAGTTCCCTTGTGTGAGTAGTGATTTGATTTCCTCTCTTTGTTTTTTGTTGTTGTTGTTGTTTTCAAATTATACAATTGGGGTAGTTTTTGTTTTGCTTGTTGTCGCGTAGCTATCTATTTTTGTTTGTGCTTTGTTTTTGATCTGGACGGGACTGTTTTAAGTCTTCACTGTTACAGATGCCAATTTAATATTTCTTTTGATTTGTTGTTTTGGTTGAAATATAAACCGAGTTGAATTTGAATCTTGTTTGATCATTTATTCCACTTCGTATTGTCTGTAATGGATGGTTTGTGTCTGATGCTAAATACGTTATCTGGGCATAATTTAATATATATAATTTGACAGGTTTCAATCCTGTCTGGCACCCGAACAATTCGTTACTTTAATCTTTAGTGCAAAGTCATTAATACTATTTTTTATTTTTTTGTTTCCGAGGTAAAGGAAAGATTTTTTTTAAGAGTCACGTGGCCGAGTGGGTATGTCGCAGAGCCCTGACACAAAGAGACTGGGGTTAGTCCTAACGGCAGCTGGATTAGTCCTAAAAGGCGCAGTACTTTTTGTGGTTGGGTCTTTTTTAGTTCGGATCATGTTCTCACCACAAACAAAGCGCTTCAGGGTTCGTTTAAAAGCGTACCTTGAGGAGTATGCTTTTTCGGTCTACTTTTGGTGCGCACTTGCGTACTATTGCTACATTCACACCTGCCCAAGCGAACCGCACCGAGGAAAAACGAACTCCAAT